TACTTTCAATCCATGATGACAATCATATCTTATCTGCAATATCACTAAGTCACAAATCCCTGTGGACGATAACTCTTTACTACATCGAAACTTGGTACACTTGCCGGGTAATTTGAATCCATGAGTGAAAATATTAACAACTTCATCATCATTTTTTGTCATCAAACAAAGATTTGTTTCTTCTTCTCCATCATTGCTTTCGGAAGAACTCTCTTATGTTGTGGAAGAATCATTATCCTCCCAAGCAATATAAGCTTTGCGTTTTCTCTTATAGGTATCGTTCTTCTCTTTCTTCTTCTCTTTCACATCTTTCTTCTCTTTCTTAAGTTCCGGACAGTCTGATTTGATATGACCAGGTTTTCCACATTCATAGCAATGAAATTTATTTGTTTTATCCTTTCTTTACTGTCTCTTTTTCCTGTTCTTCATAAAGCGAGAAAATTGTTTAACAAAAAGAGACATATCGGAATCCGAAAACTTACCTTCATTTTCGCTTTCGTCTTGTGAAGATTTTTCTACTTTTAGAGCTATCGTCTTGGTTTGATTCTGTTCACCGTTCTTTAACCTTTGTAGCTCCATCTCATGTTCTTGCAGCTTTCCAAATAGATTAGCAATATTCATTTTTGTGATATCCTTTGATTTTGTAATAGCAGTGACCTTTGATTGCCAATTCCTGTCTAAGGATTTCAAGATCTTTGTGTTCAACTCCTCATTGTCAAAACTCTTTCCTAATGCTTTCAAGTGATTTACTATATGTGTGAAACGTGTTTGGAAATTCGTGATACTTTCATTTTGCTGCATTTGAAATAATTCATACTCCTGGATGAGTGTGTTTTTATGTGCTCGCTTTACTTCATTTGTTCCTTCATGTGTTACTTCAAGAGTGTCTCATATTTCTTTTGCCGTCTTGCATTGTGAGACCCTGAAAAATTCATTACGAGTTAAAGCAGAAACAATAGCGTTTCAGGCTCTTACATCATATTGGGCACGCTTGTTTTCATCCGGCGTCCATTGATCAAAAGTCTTTGGAACAACTCCAGACTCCGTTGTTCTCATCGGAATGTAAGGACCATTGAGTACAGCATCCCAAACACCGTAATCTAGTGTTTGTAAAAATATTTCCATTCTTGCCTTCCAAAATTGATAGTCTTCTCCTTCAAATAATGGTGGTCTGTTTATTGAAGCTCCTTCCCTGTAAACTTGATTCTGCATAGACATCTTGACAGATCGTTTAGAAATATCTTATCTAACCAAGCTCTGATACCACTTGTTAGACAAATGACATCTAGAGGGGGGGGGGTGAATAGATGCACAAATTAAAATAGATGTCAAATTAAAAATTTATTTGTGAGTCAATAATTTGTTAAAGCGGAAGCAATAATATAATCAGGAAAAGAGAAGAGCACACAAAGATTTATACTGGTTCGGGTATAGCCAACCCTACATCTAGTTCCCAGTCAATTCTTAACACAACACTGACTCCCCATTCACTATCTTTCAAATTCAGTTTACAAATTACAATCAACTCAGCAGAAGAACCAGTAAAAAGTAAACTAATTAAAAAGACAATCATCTCCTTAGAAACCCACTAAGGATGAACACTTCCCTAGAATCCCACTAGGGATGAACACCTCCTCTGAACAAATCAAAGGATGAAAACACCTCCTTAGAATCCCACTAAGGATGAACACCTCCCTAGAATCACACTAGAGATGAAGGTAATAAAAATAAGAACAGACACACCTGGGTAATGGAGACAACAAATTGTAGAAGCCTGTAGAATGCCAATCTCCAAGAACAAGTGTGATTAACAATGAAAGCACAGAAGACAGTAGAGAAGAGGGTTTTCTCAAAAGGTGTAAAACATCTTGCCTTGCTCAGAATTCTTTTCTCAAATCTAATTGAATGTAAATTGTATTTTCGAATTCTGTAATTGTGTGTTTTTTTTTTCATAAAAACTTAATTAAATAGAAAAATAACATCAGAAAATGACTATTGGACATTAATAATATCATAGAGAAAATCGGGATGTATTCAAAAATATTTATTCTTTAAAACAGATATATTTTTCAAATTTGAATTGCCATAATTGATTATATTACCAGTATAATTAATTATGATAGAGAAAATCATTTTTCCATTTCCGGTGCATCATAATTAATTATGACAGTGAAAAATATCATGTTATGAATTTTATCACACTTGTGCTTTGGAGGCTTATGCATAATATTACTTCATCAACTTGTACCTCCATATCCAAGTATTCTAAGACTCTATCTAATCTTTAGGAATCATCTTGGGCTTGCTTGAATCACCTACATCATAAATTCAGTTTATCCTTAAATTCATCTTGAATGGTGTTGACTTGAATGTAGTTGACTTGAATCATAATCAAAATCATCTCTTGGGAATGCAGGAACATTTCCATCAATCTCCCCCTCATTGCTTTCAACGATAATTATATATAAAACAGTTATGTAATTTAAGAAAAATTGATTTCTTAATTTATTTTAAACATTTATTTTAAACTATTATGATAAAGTCACCTTAACACATTTAAATCTTTTATCCTAAGATGCTATAGATAATAAAACTAGTTTCTTTCTCTCAATTAAAGTTCCCCAAACTAAAAATCTCTAAAATTTTAAATTCTTAAAAAATTAGATTTTACTATAAAAAACTCTAATTAATAAATTAAACATCTAGTTTTAGGACACATATACTCAAAATCTTAATTTAAAAAAGAAGAAGAAAAGAAACTTGTTCTATTTTAAATTTTAATTAAGTAAAAATATTCTTCTAGAAGGACTTGTACTTGATTAAAAAAAAATAAAAAATATAAAAAGAAGTTAAAGAAAAGGATTATTAGAAAATATAAAAAAAATAGTTAAATTTGTTATTTATTTTTTTAATTTAATTCAATAAATCTTCATAATTTACTTCATTGAGTTACTTTATAGTAAAAGAGAATTGTAAGATGAGAAAATTCTCAAACACTCAAAATAAATTTTAATTCTTATTTTAAAATTAAATAAATATGTTATTTTATAATTTATATATTAAATTATTATATCTTAAATAAAACTAATTTTATTAATATTTTAAATTTTTAAAATATATATATTTCTTTTATTTAAATAATTTTTAATTAATCATTTTGATGTAAACACATTAATAATTTTTTAATTTTATAATTAGGTCAAATCTATTAATCTATTAATCTAATATTATACTAAAAATTAGTATTCCTTTTAAAATATAGATGACTATTTTTATTGACCCTATGACCAAACTTGTTTTAACAATTATAAATTTAATTATTTAGAAATAAAATTAATAATTAATTCCAATATCACATCTTCACATAATTATTTGTATTCCAAAGTGAAAAAATCAATGTAAATCATAACATTTTTTATACTCTTCCTAACAAGATTAATGTTTAAGAAAATAAAAGAATAACACTTTAATTGGAATTCATATAACTTATAAAAAAAAACATAATAGATTTATTTTTACGCACTTCAATGTTAATTTAGCTTTAACCTTCTTATAAATAATGTCCTTAAAAGAATGGTTACGCATTTTTTTTATATAATGTAAATATAAAGTGATGATATATCTATACGAAAAGTTATAAATTATATATTAATATTGATTTTTTTTTACTTATTTTACCTCATTATTCCAGTGATAATTTTTATTATGCAAAGTTGCGTAAGAAACTTCCTAAGCAGCTCTACGTACCATGATATAAACAACACTTTTCTTTCATTAAGATCAATTTTTAAACACGCAAGAAAAGCAACAAAAAACATATATTATATGGCAAAATGATTGAGAATATTACACGATCCAACACCTAAAAAAAATGTATAACTCGTATTCATTTTAAAAAAAATTATTTTAATATTTGAAATTTGTCTAGAATATAAAAATTATATAATTTTTTAATTTCAAGAAACTATATAATTTTGTTTTGATTTAAAATATTAAAATCAAAATCACTTTTAACTTTAGATATGGAAAAGATAATTAGTTTTTTTTCTTTCTTTTTTTTTTTTAATAATTTTGTTCAACTTTTGACGTTCCTCAACTTTAACGGGAAGTGTCCTAAAGAAAAAACCGTAATAGGAGAGCTTTATTAAAAAGAAAAAAAGGACAAAACTTTTGAGTCAAGTCAATTGGTAACTTACTCGAGAAGTATGATGAAGGTCTCAGCAAATTTATATTATTGCATTTCCCATTTTCAATCATTCACACAACCACAGCAAATTTATATTATTGCATTTCCCATTTTCAATCATTCACACAACCATCTTCTTTCACTTCTTCCATACCCTTGCTTCATAAGTTTGTGAAGGAAAGCCCCCCAAAGACAGATTGAAGGTAAAGGTTCTTACTCAACATCCTCATCTATCTTTTTCCTCTCTATCACTGTTCTTGGCTTCCTTAGCCAATCATCGCTAAGCAACCCAACAATCCAAGTTCAATGCCAAATCAGTTTGCATGCAAAAAAACACACATTTCTCAAAAACCATATATACACAAATAATCTTCTACTGTTTCTTAAAACAAACTAGTGGAACCACCAAGTACATGCTCTGTAAACTGTTAAATTAAATGTGATGATCATACACGTGTCTGTCTTAATCATTCTATATTGAGACAAATCTAAATCCCATATTATTATAGTTTGACAAAAGTATATATAAACAGGGACGATTTTCAATTCAAAGTATTGATTTAATGCGACTGAGTTAGACCTAAAACCCAAAGTCAGTATTCTGGACCAAGTTTATCTTTTTATGTTGAAAAATAAGAAAGAGTGTCATTAACTACTTGTGTCACGATACTTGGGTTATTTATTGTGTCGATTATTATGTTTAATGTTTGGTTTATGAAAGCCAAAATGGGTTCTTCCATTGGGCTGCGTAACTTACTATGGCTGACTTCGTTTGTTCTGAATTTGAACACATTTTACAATCACTTGAAAGAAAATGGCAAAACAAAATAAGGAATGGGCTGTAGGAATCGACCTTGGCACGACATACTCATGTGTTGCTGTATGGCTAGAAGAGCACTGTCGAGTGGAGATCATTCACAATGATCAGGGCAATAGAACTACGCCTTCTTCTGTTGCTTTCACTGAAAATCAAAGATTGATTGGTGATGCTGCTAAGAATCAGGCTGCCATTAACCCAACCAACACTATCTTTGGTAAATAATTGTCGTTTTATTGTGTGTGAATTCATTTAAATGTTTAGACTAGTTATTTCTGTGTTGGCTTTTAGCAGAACAAATGATAGCATAACATATATCTGGCAAAAAATATGCTTTTTGTCAAGTTCCCTACTTTGTCTATGACTTTCAATTAATAAGTGTCATTCCATAAGTCTCTTTTGACTAACATCAGTGAGGTATTAGCCTTGAATTCTTGCTCTATTGGCAACAGGCTTAAGAAATGCATCAAATGACTAATTTTGCAGATGTGAAAAGGTTAATCGGCAGAAGGTTTAGTGATCCCATTATTCAGGATGATCTGAAGTTGTGGTCATTTAAGGTCATTGCTGATTCTGGTGACAAACCCATGATAGTTGTTTCATACAAGGGTCTGGAGAAACATATTTCAGCTGAAGAAATCTCATCTATGATCCTTACAAAGATGCGCGAGATTGCAGAAGCCTATTTGGAATCACAGGTTAAGAATGTCGTGGTTACTGTACCTGCTTATTTTAATGACTCTCAGCGACAAGCAACCAAAGATGCTGGTACCATTGCTGGTCTCAATGTTATGCGGATAATCAATGAGCCCACAGCTGCAGCTCTAGCATACGGCCTTCACAAAAGAGCTAATTGTGTTGAAGAGCGAAATATTTTCATCTTTGATCTTGGTGGTGGTACATTTGATGTGTCTCTTCTCACAATCAAGGGTGATGTCTTTGAAGTCAAGGCCACTGCTGGTGACACTCACCTTGGAGGAGAGGACTTGGATAACAGAATGGTGAAGTACTTTGTTGAGGAGTTCAAGAGGAAGAATAAAGTGGACATAAGTAGGAATCCAAGAGCATTGAGGAGATTGAGAACTGCTTGTGAGAGAGCAAAAAGGACACTCTCATATGCTGTTGACACCACCATTGAGGTAGATGCTTTATCTGAGAGCATTGACTTCTGTTCATCAATCACTCGTGCAAGATTTGAGGAACTCAACATGGACCTCTTCAAAAAGTGTATGGATACAGTAGACAGGTGTCTTGTTGACTCTAAGATGGAGAAGAGTGATGTAGATGATGTTGTACTCGTTGGTGGTTCTTCTAGGATTCCCAAAGTGCAGCAGCTATTGCGAGACTTCTTCAAGGGGAAGGAACTGTGCTTGAGCATCAACCCTGACGAGGCTGTTGCTTATGGAGCAGCAGTACAGGCTGCTTTGTTGAGTAAAGGCAACAAGTATGTTCCCAACTTAGTGCTATTAGATGTTACGCCGCTGTCACTTGGTATATCTGTAAAAGAAGATCTTATGAGTGTTGTGATTCCTAAGAACACCACCATTCCTGTCCAAAAAACGAAAGGATATGGAAGATCCGAAGACTTCCAATCTGCTGTCCTAATTGAGGTTTACGAGGGTGAAAGGACAAGAGCAAGCGATAACAATCTGCTTGGTTTCTTTAATCTTTATGGTGATCCTTATGCTCGACGTGACCATCCTTTAACTGTATGTTTCAGTATAGATGCTGACGGTATCCTAAGTGTAACTGCCGAGGAAGAAAGTAGTGGAAGTAAGAATGGTATTACTGTAACCAACGACAAGGGAAGACTATCAACTCAACAGATTATGAGATTGATTCAAGAAGCCGAGAAGTACAAGGCTGAAGACCAGAAGTACCAAAAGAAAGTTCAAGCAATTAATGCTTTGGATGATTTCGTTTACAAGATAAGGAATGCTATAGAGGATGTTGAGAACAGTTATAAGGTTCATCCACAAGACAAAATGAAGGTCAACATGGCAATTGCAGAGGCCAGAGAATTGCTTGATGCAAGCCAGCAGACAGAAACAGAGGTGTTTGTGAATCATCTGAACGAGGTGAAGAGCCTCATTGAACCCATTATGAGGATTAACTAGTTTGTTTCAAGTTTATGTTGGTGAAAATACAAAACTTTATGAACCATGCTATGTAAACAAAATGTTTCCAGTTTCCACTGTCAATGCTTGAACACATCTTTCTTTCAGGTCTTGCTAACATGAATGTAGATATGCTTATAATTATGTGTGGTATACTTGAGCACATTTCTTCTACATGGATATTCAGATGGACAATTGTTCCGTGGCTGTTGCGGTGTGGCTTTTATGGTGTGGTGAAAAATACAACACAACCAATAAGATCAGCAGGTAGATAATTGTTTTTTCTAAGAAAGCCAACTGGGTTTGATTCTTTGCCAGTGCTATGAAAATAACCTTATTAAACGAGATAAAGCCTATTTCGATGATCTTCATATCTTGAAAGATTAGTCTAGTAACTTTTAGACAATGGGATACCTTGTGTTTTGGGAGAAAGAAAAAGAAAAAATTGAAAGAGTTGAAGGGTGATATAAACCTTATTTATATAAGAACTGATTTAGGGTCTTTAGGGTTAGAATCCTGTAGTATATTTAAAAAATTAGTGAGGAGGTGGATTAGAAAGTGACATAAATTCTTGGGATGGCAGAATTTAGTTTCTTGGATTCTAGTGAAGAAAGAACAAAAGATGAATATGAAAGGTCGAAGAAAAGAATCATTCTTTTTAAGGGAGGTAATTCATGTTAGAAAAGTAGGCTGAGATCAAGAGGGGGTGAATTGATCTTTGAAAGTTTTTCGTAATTTATAGATTATTTATTTCAAAGATTAAGAGATCTGACCAATTCTTGAATCAAACACAGCAAACAATCAAAGTAAAGACAATGACAGAATTAAAGAGAGAAATGTTTAGAAAGATACAACCAAAATTTATACTGGTTCACCCAATACCAGGGCTACGTCTAGTTTCCAGCCAAATTCCAGTTGGGTTCCACTAGATTGAACGTTTTATAGATTACAACTTCAATCACACACTCAATCTACCACAAGAACCAAAATTCCAGTCCTTGCACCTAAACCTTCACCAAGAACCAATTTCCAGTTCTTGAACAACCTTGTAGTCAAATTTCCAGCTACAGAAACCAGTGCCCACACTTCCAGGCACACACAATATAGAAAAGAAAAGTAAAGAAACAAAGAGAAGAAACTAGAACACCCAAACCAGGTTTATGCAGTTCTGTAGAATGAGTTTCTTCACCAAAAGAATGCAAATATTGTCTCAAGAAAGAACTTCTAAGAACTTCACAAAACTAGCGCGAATCTCTCTTGAAAGTAGCACTTATGATTGCTTGATTGATTGCCAAAAGATGTATTTTAAAATGTACAAGCAATTCTGTTTATATAGAAGATTTTCCAAACTGCTGGTTTATTTAATCTGTTAAAATAATCTTTTAATCTGTTAAAAGTCTTGTTTTAATCTATTAAACTTCTTTTAATCTGTTAAAATGTTCTTGATCATTTTTTAGATTTGTTTTAACTGATACGACAACGTTTATATTGATTAAAACTCTTTGTAAAAAATCCTTCAAATTGTTTTAATTGATTGATTCACTTTTTAATCGATTAAAATACTGCTAAAGGTTTTCATAAAACTCTCTAAGTGATTTTAACTGATAACAATATGTTTTAATCGATTAAAACACTTTGGAAAAAGTTCACTTAGTTATTTTAATCGATTGAATCGCATTTTAATCGATTAGAATTCTACCAAAAGATTTCATAAAACTTTCTAAGTTATTTTAACTGATAACATACTTGTTTTAATCGATTGAAACATCCTGAAAAAACCTCTTAGTTGTTTTAATCAATTATTTCGTATTTGTATCGATTAAAATACTGACAAAACAACTTCCTAAACACTTCTAGTTATTTTAATCGATTATTTCGAGTTTGTATCGATTAAAATTATGCCAGAACACTTTTCAAAATATTCTAAGTCATTTTAATCGATTGTATCAGATCTATATCAGTTAAAATACTGACAGAAGGTTTTCAAAATTCCTTCTAATGAAAACAATCGATTATTTCGAAAACATATCAGTTAAAAACGTGTTACAAAAGTGTTAAAAACATTTTAGCTCATATACTATTAGTTAAAATAGTTACTTCAAAAACCTTTTACCAAAAATACTTTATTTTTAACAGTTTAAACATGTTTTAGAGGTTTTTGCAAAATCTTTTAAGTGAAGAAACTTCATGCAGCAGAGAGATAAAAATGATTATACCTAAGTAACGATGCAGACTCACTAATCACTCTACCCTTTTATCTAAGTGACCTTTGACTGCAACATAGTAGCATTTGACGTCATTTTGACTTCATCAAATCAACAAGATCTTTATTCAAGTGATTCAATAAGATCTTCATCACTTTCAGTCTCCCCCTATTTGATGAAGACAAATACCTCTTTGAATAATATCTCTGCAGAAGAAGTCACTTGAATATATAGATTAATAAGTATTCAAAAAATTAATCAATTTTCTCATTTCTCCCCCTATGTTACTACTCCCCCTAAAATAATGAATCATTATCATTGTTAAAAGAAAAACAATTATTTCTCCCCCTTTTGACTTCATCAAAAATAGGAAAGAGAGGAACAAAAACAAACACTATGCATGATATCTATCAAAATTTGTTTTTGAAAACAGAAAAAAATGTGAACAAGATATATTACTCATATAAAGACCAATAAAAGTTGATTCAAACTTATCTTTATTAACACGTTTGTAATGAATACAATAGACACGTGTAAAGTGTTGAAAATTCAAGGACTTGATGTTGAACTTGATGAACATGAAGCTTGTTGATTTTGATGATGATTCAAGAACATAAGACTTAGAGTGTTGAAGACTTGTTTTATATTGTAATAACTCTGTTTTGATTAGATTGAGTCTGTAATATTAGAGTTTGAGATAGCCGGTACATAGTCTGCACCTTAGAAGCTTAAAAAAGCTCAAATTTATCAAAGTGTCTCGGCTTTAATCGATTAAATAGTGAAATAATCGATTAAAACAGTGAGAAAAACCATTTTCTGTATCTGCTCACTGGTTTAATTGATTAATTCACCTGTTAATCGATTAACAAGCCTGTTAATCGATTAACAGGTCTTTTAATCGATTAAAACAGAGAGTTTTGGGGTTCTATTGATTTTGGCTCTGTAATAATCGATTAACACTTCATTTAATCGATTATTTCAGTCAGATTTTGATTTTTAACTTCAAATCAACCCTATTTTCGAAAACCCTATTTCCAAGAACCCTAGTTTCAAAATTCCCAATTCCCAAACCCTAATTTCTCTACTTAAGCTTCTCTATGGCTCTCAGAAAAAAGAGAACAACCTTTTTCATAGAAAAGTTAAGTGTTGTGAGTGCTAGAGAACTGTTTGTTGCAAGAAAAAGGGGCTTTTGGAACCTGGTGTGGGCTAGAAGCGATAAGAATCACTAAGTGGAGTTCTTAGTGGATTGTGTGCTGTGCCGTCTCTGGGGAAAACTGTTCTTCATCTCTTGTGGATTTCAAGAGAGGTGTTTTCTTTACTTTGTATTTTCAATTGTTATCTGTTTGTAACAACTTTGATTATAGTGACAGCGTTAATCCTCTGTTTGAGTGATTAGCAACTGGACGTAGGGTCTTTTGATCCGAACCAGTATAAATCTCCTGTGTAAGATTCTCTTCTCTTCTCTATTTACATTTACACAGTTTTTAATCGGTAAAATTTAGGGAAAATTTTGAAAACCTAATTTTTATTAAGAAACCAATTCATCCCCCCTCTTGGTTTTTGTCCGACCACGCGAACATTCCGCTGTGCGATTCTAACAAATGATATCAGAGCTTGCTTTGATAGTCATTCAAATTTTTCGAAAATGGCCGGACAAAATCAAACTTTTGTCGAATGTGCGTCTATCAACAGACCCTCACTTTTTGCGGGTCAAAATTATCCTTTCTGGAAAGTAAAAATGCAAATTTTTTTAGAGTCTGTTGATAGAGGCGTTTGGGACGCTATTTTAAACGGTCCATATGTTCCTAAAGTTACTGAGAACGGTGTTGTCGTTCCCAAACCTTTTTCTAGATGGACTGCAGAGGAAAACAGAAAAGCATAATTTGACATTAGGGCTAGAAATATAATTTCATCTGCTTTAACCCTTGACGAGTTTTACAAGATTTCTGTTTGTAAAAGTGCTCAGGAGATGTGGGAAATGCTAAGAGTAACCCACGAAGGTACTGACGACGTTAAGAGAGCACGTAAAAACTCCTTAATCCAAGAATACGAGATGTTCTGGATGCAACAAGGCGAAACGATATTCGACGTTCAAAAGAGTTTCTCTCATATCGTGAATCATCTCACTGGATTAGGTAAAATATTTGACGTTGATGAATTAAATGTTAAAATTTTAAAATCTTTGGATAGGAAATGGCAACCTAAGGTGACGGCCATCTCAGAGTCACAAAATCTTTCCACAATGTCAATGGCGGCGCTATTCGGAAAGCTAAGAGAGCATGAGCTTGAGCTTGGTAGGCTAAACGATGAAGAAGGGCAATATCAAAAGAAGAATTTAGCCTTCAAAACCGAAATTTCCAAAGGTAAAAATAAGAAGGAAGAAGAAGACTCAGAAAATGAAGAAGAAGAGTTGAGTCTAATGATAAAGAAGTTCACCAAATTCATGAAAGCTAAAGGAAGATATCCATTCAAAGGTAAAGGAAAGGTAAGAGAAAGTACTTCCGTAAATATAAAATGCTATGGTTGTGGTGAAGCAAGACATGTAAAGACTGAATGTCCAAATAAGAAAAACGATGAAATCAAAGGCAAAAAGGTCTTCAAGAAGAAAACTTATATTGCTTGGGATAACAGTGATTCAAGTTCGGAATCAAGTGACTCGAAAGTAGAAGCAAATATTTGCTTAATGGCAAATGACAACATATCTTCCGATTTTGAGGTAAGTGATTCCGACACATCTTCTAGTGATGATGATAATAACTATGATGAATTGAAAAATGCTTACAATGAATTGTTTAG